TATTACATTTTAGCCTTGGGTTGTTTGCCAAAGATGAAAGAAAAAAATATCTACAACTGCATTACAGCAGCAGACAAGATTTTTTGTGTATCACCGGCAAACTCATGAGCGCATCAATATGTTGTGAAATGCAGGCCAGTTTTCAATTTTGTTTTGGAAGAATTATACAGTTGACTCTCAAAGCAGATAGCTTTGACAGGTTCTTGTCGTTTCACGACAACTGAATCCCAGTATTATAGTTTGTGTTATACAGCCCTACTTTATCGAAAAATATTTATTCCTCTTAATTTATATATCCGGCAAATCTTAAGTTATTTGAAACAGAATGAATCCTATTTATTTTAAACAATATTTGGTTTACTGCTCCTATCAATTTCTCTTAATCGTCGATCAGTAGTGCAAAAATGTCAATTAAGTTTATGCGTATTGCCATGGACTCTTCTGGCCTTGAATGGTTTCAGTCCTAGTTAAACTCGCTAATATAAAATGCATACACAACCCGGTATTTGAATAGCAAATAACTGATAATGTAAACATCTTTGTCCAAAAATGGTCAATAAAACACTGAAACAAGATTTTTTTTTATTGTTGTTACTCTCAATCGATTACATCAAAAAGAAATTTTTCTAATAGATCAAAAGGAAACAATAAGATTTTGCATTATTGCACTCATAACGTTTTTTATTAGCAGCTTTTCTATTATGATTCTTTCATCAACTTCTGAAAGAAATAGCGAAAGTTTTTTATTGAGGAAAGAGCTGACCTCTTTCAAACATGAAGTTTCGTTTCAGTCTTGCAACAGCTGAGGGGCGTGCCGGAGTGAAATCATTTTGGGTAACCTTTAAGGTTCTATAATTACAAGGGAAAGCACCTCAGAATCGTTATTTTCTTCACCAACTCCAAAGCTTGCAAACATTATCTTGTAACAGTCACGAAACGATGTCGAAGAGAAACATGGATAAAACAGTTGCAAAATACTTCATTGTTGTGGTAAGTCATGCCAGATAATCTTTTTGCTTTAGTCAGATCCAAAACGATGGCAAAACCAATGCCAAAACTGAAAAAAAAGAGAAAAAAATGATCATTAACTCCTTTGCACGACGACGGTGACTCTTAGCCTCGTAAGTTTTTTTAGTTTTTAAATATAACGATAGTTCATTCTTACATTTGTCCTGAATATTGTATATGTGGTTGTGTATCGGCGTAAAAACAAGGAGCTAGCCAGGACGACGTATTGCAAGACCAAGATGTTTCTGTTGCTAATATTTTCTCAGTTTTGGCATGAAGAGAGCTTAAACCATACTATAAAATTGATAGTTTGTTCTCTGTATTTAAGCCAAAAAGATAGCTTATAAGTCTTACTTGTTGAAAACAATTGATCAGTTTTAAGTCAGTATCCTTTGGAAACAGATATACGTACGTATTGAAATTATTCTTAACTGACCTTTTAACTTATCTTTGTGTGTTATGTTGTAATAAGTTACTACATGAACTAAACAATTCCTAAAGAAACTGTTAAACAGAGTCTCAAGAAACCGTTTGATGCAAAAATAAGAGTGGACAGCGATTAACCAAGAACTGAGAACATCTATTAGAAATCGATTGCCAAAAACTGTCATCTTTATGCATAATAACCGAATTCAGATATTTTTACACCCAGTGGAATAATCTGAGTAAAAGACGTCCATAGTTTGAACAGAAGAATATATCTTTTTTAAAAATTATATTTGATTTTGTTTCTTTTCGCCTGCGTTGAAGCAGGACTTGTCACTCGAGACTGGAGAACTCGATAAACTGTTAATCGAGAATTTAGATTGACTGCGAAGCAGGCTACGTTTCGTATTACGTCAAAAAATAAGCAAATAACATCCAGCCTTTTCTAAGATTCAACATTTCATTAGTTGAGTCTCAATAGGCTGTAGTAAACAACGCATTAATTCCTTTTTTTACACGTACAATTTTGATATGGTGATTAATGACGATCCAGCTCTTCCGCTTTGTTTAAACTGGAGCACTGAATAGAGTTACTGCGGAAAGTCGAACTTAAGAAATCATAATTTTATTAGACTTTCCTTGAGATTAAGGCTTAAAAATGGACTCGTTACCTGTTTCGGAATTATACTTTTGAAATTTGAAGAGAAAAGAGAACTTGTAAAAGTAATTGTGTTTAGTTATGTTTGTTGACTAATTGATCAGCCACCCGTCTGAAGCCTTAGCATGGTCGGCGGTTGCCTGCGTGCAGACGTCTCCTATTTCCTTTGTTGCACGCGGAAAAGGGACGTCTGCGTAACGCCGTTGCTAATCGTGTTCCAGCGTCCTGCTGGGTTCCCAAGATCTTGGGAACACGCTGTGATAGGCTGACACACAGTGCGCATTGTTTGACTTAACGCTGATTGGTTGTTATCGAATGTGGTCTGATAATGTATGCGGTGATTTAAATGATTTATGTAAGCGGGGTTTTCTAACCAAAACAAATCAAAACATGTGCGATTGTGTGCTGTGTTTTTCGTCGATCGAAAAGAACAGCGATCGAAATCTTGTGCGGGGACGCGGAAAATTTAACGTGTAGGAGGAAATTATTTCTTTACAATTTACTGTGCATGACACATCACATCATATTTGTAAACAGTGTCTGAGAAAACTACAAAAGCGGCGTGGACTTCGCACCAGGCAGGCATTTCGGAGAAAGCCAGCCAAAGAAACTAAAATCTTTATTAAGCCGTAACAAACAGAGGTCAAGAAAATTTAAACACTTTACAACTGCATCTGAAATCAAATCCTATCGGGAACACCCACAGAAGCATAAACCACAGGAAATGATTACTCAGTATGCATGTAACAAACCTGTCAACTCTTATTTCTAACCGGATATTATTTGACAATTTATGCGAAATAGAATACCCTGCCAGCGGGACGCTGGAACACGATTAGCGACGGCGTTACGCAGACGTCCCTTTTCCGCGTGCAACAAAGGAAATAGGAGACGTCTGCACGCAGGCAAGGTCGGCGGCAGACAGGTAAAGTATTTAAGCAACGATCCACTGAATTTTAGCGACAGCATGAATGTACGTAATGAAGTACTCTTTCTGAAGCACTTACGAAAATTCTACACTCACACATACTATACTACACTCACTTTCTGCTAACTCATGCCAATGATCAATAACCCTCAATAATAGCCTCCTACTGGGCAATTTAAGAAATACTCTTGATTACCTCAGGCGCTGCCCGTGACGTCACGGTGGCCATATAAAGGTCCCAAACCAACCCTGTGGGAGTTGATCTCTTTCCTCTTAAGTGAACACTTTTTTTTGTTCCAATAAATTTGCATCGATGCAGATCGAGTGGGTCGAAACGCTCTATATTTAGTGGCATGCTACATAATATCTGTCTTTGGTTTAGGCATCAGTGTAACTATAATAGGTCTTCTCAAACGCCACCTTTAACTATTGGTGTAAGAAACTCTATGGCTAAGTTTTAAGTAAAACAAAACTGAATGCAGGGCTACATAGCGTTCAGTCCAGGGGGAGCCCGCTCAACATAGTTTTACGACAGTGAAACCTCTTTCACATACCTAGTTGTTTAGTACTTAGCATGCCTTTTCACTGCCGTAAATTCACTGTCTTTAAAACATGAATAAAAAATCGCAAAACATGAACATTTTCACAGCCATATTAAAATGCATTTGTCCCTTTTGGACCTTTTTAGAGAGCGACCTTCCACATACTCCAACAAGTGAAATCCGTACGTTACCATTTCATTTACTTGAAGCCTGCATGAAAAAGATCAAGCTAGATATCCCTTTCAGGCGGAGCCTCCTCCAAAGACCCCAGAGTCTAATTCAGTATTTTTACTGATCAGGTCTTATTGGAGCCTACGTTCTGCGGCATATTCGTTTGCGGTCCTTTGCAGTCCTTTGTGGTTAATGTTTGTACTTTGATTCTTTCAATGAGAGATGAGTGGACAGCAGTTAACCAAGAACTGAGACTATTTATTAGAAATATTTTATCGAATCGAACAATGACCTTCTCAATGCGTTTTGAAGAGTTCGGTCGTAGCTAAGATTATAAGGTTTGAACGAGTCCGAGCGAGCGCGTATATATCTTTAGATGTAAGCTTTATGGTGACGCTATGGAATCATGGTATACCCAGCCGACCGCGGAGTTGCTCTCTCTTCTTTATCTCAATTTGCTAGCCTGTGCCAGGCTCTCAGATAGTATAGTGCGGACGTGTTAAAATGAGCAAAGCGAAAATAAGACGCGCGCGACTTGGGAAAGGGGGGCCCCCGCGTTTTTCGCAGTTCTTTTTACTGAACGACTTTTCACCACTATCTCGGAGCCTGGAACAGGCTACAATTTGCTTGAAGGTGGGACTAATAAATGCTTGGGAATCATTTATTTTAGGCGTTGATTGTGTGTTTATAAAAGGCCTTTCTCTCACAAATTCATGGTTAAGTGCGTATCAGAGTTTAATGTAAGGTGCCATGACCTAGCCTAAAGGAACAATAAAATTCCTTTAAGGCATAGACTAGTTCAAATAATTGGATTATAAATTTTAAGAGGTTTTAGCTAAAACGGTTTTAGCTAAAACCATGGCCTCAAATGCAAAGTTTTCTCACGCCTTGCGTAAAAAATTTCACAGCTGCGCCTATTCCTTTTCGTAAATCCGGCCAAACCTTCAATGTTTGCGACCATCATTATTTTTAGTCATATTATGGCTTAAATACAGGCTTCTAGTATTTGATTGTAAAACTCCCTGAAGAAGTCTACGTTCGTTAAACGAAACGCGTAGGAGAGTAAACAAGTTTTACAGCAACAGTTCGCAGAGTGCTGCTCACTAGTTTAGTTTTAAAAATTTTTCATAATTTAAAAATTATAAATAATAAAAAAAGGCCTTAAAATAATAATAAAAAGGTCTTTAATCACACGGTTGTGTCTTTACAAAATGAAGATAAAACTAATGAATCGACAATAATACATATTTATTGTTTCCCTTCTTAGGTTGGATTGATCCTGCAGTTCCATTTGCCTGGAAGTAATAGTCTATCTTGCAAACCAGTCAATACTGACGGTGCTTACACCATTAAGTCTTTTAAAACGGACAAATATCTCAAAGTTGAATGGAAGAATAACACGACCAAGTTGTCATTTACAGGAAATTCAAACGACTGTGGTATTTGTAAGTTATCAAACCAAATATATTATATTGTTTCCTCAAAAGAAAACCAGGTCCTTTCGCTAGAAAGAGTAGAAAAACTGTGGGGTACAAATACAAGACCAGCGTTGGTGAATTTGGCTATAATTGAGGATGAAAGACATTTTTAAGCATGTCATAGGGGTGCCGAGAGAATCAATGTATAGCTAATCCAGAAATCAGTATTTTTAGGGTTGGCGAGGATACTTTAAGGATATAAAAGATGATGCTCTTTGGTTGTAGTTCTGCAAAACAACAATGTAACAATTACAATCATCATCATCATCATCATCATCATCAGTATTATTATTTTATTGTTATTGTAGACGGAGATTTGAAAACGTTACTGCTAAAATAGACCTCTTTCGTCAAGAGGTTTTCCATTCTTGCCTTTATCTTGAAATTGGCCCCTTTCAATCCAATAGCTGCATTTTTCGGTTGCACTTTCTTAAAATGTCCGGCAAGAATTACTGAATAACTCACAGATATTTTACATATAACGTTTTGTTTTGTTTTGTTTCAGATTTTCTTCCTGGGAAAATTTCTAGCACAAACGAATACACAATTTCACTTGATAACAAGACAAACCATTATCTAGCTATAGAACACGGAAAGATGGTTGTGAAGGTAGGCGTACCTCTCAAAGTGATAAAACAAATTACGAGCGTTGGGTGATAGAGTTTTTCCGTCTACAATTCTACTGATTTAAAGAAAAGGTTTATTCAGTTAATCGTGAGTTCAATACCCACCTGAAACTCAGAAAATGCTTTCTGGGTTCTTCTCTCCACACGTCATTCTATTTATTATATGGATGATGAATTTCGCAAACTTGTTTTTCAGGTTAACATGCAATACATTACACTACCCACAATTAAAATTTTTTTTAAAAATTCGTTATATAAACACCAGTGTACTGCAAGTTAAGCTTTCACTCGTGAATCTTGTTATTAGTTCACACTGAATGAGCAAGAGTGGCAGCACAGATCCTTGTTTCAACTTCTCTTCTTTCTGTATAGCTTTGACTAGCTTTAAAAAACGGAGCATTGATGGACCCCGAGAGGGGATAAAATGAGCGTAGACTACGAGTAGATAGTAGAGCGAGCGAAACGCGAGCGTGCGTGAAAATCACCCCACGCGAGAAAAGGCGACACTCGGCGGGGAGAGAGAAAAATGAGCGTGTCGCTTTTCTCGCGTTATCTTTTATCTTGTTATCATCTATTTGCAGAAGATGAATCCGTCTGGAGGGCAGCTTGGGAACGAATGTCGTTTCCAATTGAGGAGAATCAGCTTGAATTACAGTCGGGGAGATAACACACCTGTCTCAGAGGACTATCATGTTGTTGTTTCCATGTCAACTAGCAATTCTGAGTATAACGCTATCACAAGTAACAGGTTCGGGAAAGTTTCTTTGGGATATTGGAAGGACTGTAGGGCATGGTTTAATATATCGATTGCAATGTAAGCAGTAAAAATGATAAGTACGGAGATCTTAGTTCATGGCTAAGAGATTTATATGTTAACTTAACTTATGAGGAAACCAGTTTTAGGGTTCAAATTAACCGACTTCCGAAAAAATCAACGTAAGTTTTAAAATACCTTTTTTTTACTGTGACAAACAATTTCGAAAAAAAAAACTATCTTTTTCATTCCCAAGTTGCAATCCTTTTTCTTAGCTTCGGTTGTGGTAAAAGAAAGCCGTAAATTGCTACACGTCAAAGTGTTCATTTTGTTGAAGTAAAAGCCTCGCTTGATTTTTTTTTTTCTGAATTGTCGTGACAATGACCCTCCTCCAGTTGTTTTTTTTATCTGACCACTAGTTATCGGCTCCTGCCACTGGCTGCTTAAAAAAAGAGCAATATTCAGTAAGGTAGCTTTTCATAGTACTCTGAACTGTTTAGATCAATTTTTCTGTGAAGTATTAGGCTGATTTAGCGACAGAACGGGAACGTCAGTTAACGACGGCGCGCGCAAATCAAACAACTTGCTTGACCAATGGCAGAGCGGCAAATTGGGCTCCGGAAGTCGTGTTTAGTCCTTTCCGCGCGCTTTCCCGTCGTCAACTGACGTTCCTGTACTGTTGCTAAATCAGCCTATTATATTCGGGGAGTACGGTTAATCAAACGAACCTGTAAAGTTTTTTAAGTTATTCAAAAAGATGAAACTACAGTCCAAACAGCAAGTTTGGGCAAAGTGAGTTTCTTTGTATTTATGATGTAATAATATAGAAACAAATAGTATTTAAAAAATACCATAAGTAAAGTATTTAACAAAAAAATACCCTTAATTTATAAATAAGACAATTTTGTAAGAAGTTGCAGGTGTAGCGAGATTAAAAAATTAAACGATTCAAGTGTTTTGTTAGTATTTCAACCAATCAGTTAAATGTATCTGATTTATAGCGGCGGTTCTGGTGGCCCATTTAGGAAGGTACCGTAAAATTCCGAAAATAAGCCCCTCCATGTATAAGCCCCTCCAAATATAAGCCCCCCAAACCGGTAACGCAAAAAACCCTCCGTTAAATCGCCCCTCCAAATATAAGCCCCCAGGGGCTTGTACTTGGAAAATTGCCCTCAAATACAAATTAAAACAAAGCAAAAACGGCAAATTTACTTTAAACTATCAGGCTAGTCCAATTGATTTTGAAACGCAAATTTCCCTCCGTAGGTAAGCCCCGCCGAATATAAGCCCCTCCAAAAATAAGCCCCTCAAAAAAGGGCCTTTGAAAAATATAAGCCCCGGGGCTTATTTTCGGAATTTTACGGTATATTGTTTCATTGGTGATTAAGAGACTAAATGTAGAAAAAATTCTATAAGGAAATGAAATGCAATCAAATATTTTTTTAGTCTATGGGACTGCAAAACCCAGAGACGTGGGGAATGGCGGGGGGAGGGGGGGGGGCATTTTTCTTACTGTATTTGATATGATTCCTGAAAAGTCCGGGTGTGATTATTGAAACAATAAGAATGCCAATAAGCCTTATGAACATTTTTGACAAATACCAGTGAACACGAAAGTTTATATCAAAAATTTGCAAATCGAATAAGAAGAAAAATTTCAACTGAAGCCAAGAAATGCACCGCCTGATACAAACAAAAAACCACTGACAAGTGTCATAACAAGAAAACACCAAAAACACTGAACCATTTCAAGCTACACTGAACTGGCATAGTTTAAAATACAAAGCAAAGAATAAGTTACAAACAACTCTTACCAGTTGACAATCCTTTAAATCAAATTATCAATGTTCATTAGTCGTGTTGCAGATTTGGTGACAATCTTCTCGAGCAATTTCTTTCGCTTTGTTGGGTCACTAATTGTCAAAACTTTCTTCTGATAGAGACATCATGAAGACTTGGAAGACGCTTGAAGTCCGCGCTTCAGTTTCACTAATATTTGCATAAGAATACTTGACCAACCTTTGTTGCTTGGCTTCTTTTGCATAAAATTTTTCACTCAACACGTTTTACACCTTTTTCTGCAATACGCCTAAAAAACAAAAAAAAGAAATACCCTGGGGAGCCGTTTTGAAGCTGTTCAATACACTCACGGCATGTTTTCTAATCAAGTCTAAAAATTCTCGAGCATCGCGCTCGAATTTTCAACTTAGACAAAACACTGCTGTTGGTTTTTGAAATATCTACCCACAACTCGCTGACTATAACAATACGGCTCATTTTCTGCGTCTTTTTTTGTTGCATGTTACTGAGGTGTTTTACAAAGTTTAACGTCAAAAGTAGAAACATAATTTCTGCATTTTTCTGTAAAACGCCCATGCTCAGCGTATCCCCATAACACTTTTGATTGTATGCGCATGCGCACACCTCCACCACAAATACTTTTAAATGTATTTTCCATATATGCATAGGGGTTGCACTTGAAATTGAGTCTGGGTTGTGTCTATTGCACTAATAAGACGGTTTGGGGACTAGACGAGTAAACTGTCGCTTATCCCGGAGAAACAGCTGAGATAAAAGATACTGCGAAGATGTCATTACCATGTACGGGTAGCCTGTTCCAGGCTCCGAGATAGTGGTGAAAAGTTGTTCAGTAAAAAGAAATGCGAAAAACGCGCGGGGGCTGGGGACGCGCCTCTTATTTTCGCTTTGCTCGTTTTAATACCTCCGCACTATACTATCTGAGAGCCTGGCACAGGCTATGTACGGGCAAAGATGGCGTCTTACCCGCACCCGTAAATCGGAAACAGTGTATCTTAAGGTCCGAGCTGGTCAAAATTGCTCAGTCCCAAGTTCTAAGCAACAAACCGACGAGTGTCACCATATCGTAGGCCGGGGCTCACTTGTTCCAAGTTTGATTAGCGCTAACCCGAGATTAAATTTTAATCCCGGTTTCTTTTTCTTCTGTTCAAAGCCAGATGTAAAATGGCCCGTGGTCTGATTTTGTACCAGTGTTGAATGACTTCTGAAACGCAGGTTAAGGACGGAATAAGACAAGGAAAAGTTTGAATTTTCTTTCCACCAAGCAAAATTCTTTTTTCGTTTTCTTTTTTTAATCCCCTCCACCATCGTCATCACCACCAGCCATGCATTGCCAAAGTCAGTGCTGTTAGGGGAATTTCAGTAGTAGAGGGCAAAATATCACAGTTTGTTGTTACAGCGGTTACCACTAACACGCGCCCTCAAAGGGTTTTTTCTTGGTTCAAACCTGCGTTTTGGTGGACGTCAATCAACTGTTACCATGCAATCAAATTCTTCCTGCTCTTTTCCACGTTTGACAATCATTCGTAATTTTACTTCAGTCCATTTTCCTTGTTTTCCAATTAGCAAAAAGTGGCCTGATATATATTCCTAAAGTAAGGGCCATGCATAAAGACAAGCACTAGGAAAACTAGCGTCACTAAACTATTTTACGGGCATTAGTACGTAATAAACAGTTGGTTATTTATAACTGAAGTGTGATGCAATGCTACAAATAAGTGGTTTCGTATCCGGTTTGGTCGTAATTGCATGTTTTGCAAAGTTCCTCTTTAAGAAACCATTAATAAACATAGTTGTCAGTTCTGTTTGATGTTTTATATTTTATGCTTGGGTTGTTTGCCAAAGATGAAAGGAAAAAATATCTGCAACTGCATTACGGTAGCAGACAAGATTTTTTGTGTATCACCGGCAAACTCAAGAGCGCATCAATATGTTGTGAAATGCAGGCCAGTTTTCACTTTTGTTTTGGAAGATATACAGTTGACTCTCAAAGCAGATAGCTTTGACAGGTTCTTGTCGTTTCACGACAACTGAATCCCCGTATTATATTTTGTGTTATACAGCCCTACTTTATCGAAAAATATTTATTCCTCTTAATTTGTATATCCGGCAAATCTTAAGTTATTTGAAACAGAATGAATCCTATTTATTTGAAACAATATTTGGTTTACTGCCCCTATCAATTTCTCTTAATCGTCGGTCAGTAGTGCAAAAATGTCAATTAAGTTTATCCGTATTGCCATGGACTCTTCTGGCCTTGAATGGTTTAATATTTATCCTGGGTACCTGGATCTTTCAGGTTAAGGGCACAAGGGTCTTTCATTTTTTAAGGAAACAACACATGTTTTGCATGTTTGTCTTATGCATACATAGTTTATGATTGTTATAGAATGCACGAGTGCCACACCCTACCCCCCTTTGACATTTTTAATGTTAACAGTGTCCTTCCATTTATATGCAAGGTTTCATTGTAGTGTAAATTGCTCAGAGTAGAGAGCAAGAACCAAATCTAAAGATTCAAAATAGTCAGGGTGACTATTTTGCCAGACTAAACTGTTGCTGAAGAACAAAGTAAATGTTAATTAAATGTTTATCACAGTAGTCATGCCACTGTGACTAAATATGTCTTTTTGGTGTTCAGAAATTGACGAATCGCACAGACGTGTTGGACAAGGCACACCTTTCTCCGGATGACAAAGCCAAAACAAAGGCTTTATTAGACCTACACAAGGCTATCCAGGAGAGTGAAGACAATGAAGAGGGGGGCAGTGATCCACCACCCAGGTACATCAGGCCACCATGCTCAGAGAGGTCAAAGTTAAGAAACATCAATGCTGTTCTTGACGCCTTTTGTGAAGCTTGCATGTCAAAGAGGCAAAGAAAGAGCAGCTGGAAAAATAACCAGAGAGGTTGATAAATACTTGTCAGACAGACCAGTACCAAATAACTGCCCCTCATTGGCAAGATGCCAATAATACCAAATTAGTGAAATGGCTACAGTGATCACTACTATGGCAACTGGGAGTATAAAGTCCAAAAAGGACGCCGTGTGCATGATGTCCAGAAAATGACCTTTAGCCGAAGCACAAAATGTGATGGCATAGTCGATTCTACATGAGTATAAAATTCTACTTTTCCCCTATTTTTCACTGGTTTAAAACCTATCATATTGTTTTACTCTTAATCAAGAAAGTATTTAACACTTCTAGTTCACTGGGCAGTAATTCAGTCTTCCCTGCGTTTTAC